TCAGTATGCCAATTGGACAAAAGTATATGCTCAAACATGCCCGAATTACTGTCGAAATAAGCAGTCTTCGGGATAATCAAATCTTAAAAATCCTAGATCACCTAAGGTGATCTAAGGAATAATAATAGAGTTTTTCCCAACTGAGAGGAGTCGGCCTTATGATGCTTTTGAAATGTACTTATCATCGCCACCCAAAAAGCCGTCTTATAAATGGAGAAATGAAAGTTTGACTTCGTCCAGTCCCCATCAGTACCGTCAGCAGACTCATTTCCGATTATTTAATATCGTGGCGATGCCAAAACTCCACTACCCCACACGACCACGGGTATCAATGCGTCACAGCGAAGAGGTAACATCCAAACCAAGCCGACTCTCAATTCTGATGGGATTGTCGATCAAGCAAATGTGTTTGTAATTACAATCGACGACGTTACTTACTTTCAATATAAGTAGTCTTCGATACGACTAGCAATTCCTGACATATGTGGCCTCTGAATTCCATAAAGACGACTGTCAAGTTTTCTGTGGGTACAAGGCTGCAGCCAATTGTGAATATGGAGGCAAACTTTAATGAAATTCTTCGCTTATAAGTAGGCTTTCGAAACTACAAGTAAGCTAGTTATATGACACGTATTCACGACATTTCCTTTGAGATGATGAAGGACTGGTAGCTGAATTAGCCCACAATGATATGAGTAGAGCTAATAGTTCCATTGGATTTCACATAGCCTTGCTTTCCAAAAGTGTTCCCTCTGCCGACTCTCAGTTATGATGGGATTGTCGATTAGGCAAATGTGTTTGTTATTACAATCGACGACGTTACTTACTTTCAATATAAGTAGTCTTCGATACTACTAGCAATTCTTGAATAAGGGGTCGTTTGTGTGAGCCAATATGCCCAATAAGCAGAAAGATATACCCAAACGTATTCGAGTTACTCTCAGACATATGTGGCCTCTGAATTCCACAAAGACGACTGTCAAGTTTTCAGTGGGTACAAGGCTGCAGCCAATTGTGAATATGGAGGCAAACTTTAATGAAATTATTCGCTTATAAGTAGGCTTTCGAATTACAAGTAAGCTAGTATTAATCACATTTCCTTTGAGATAATGAAGGACTGGTAGCTGAATTTTCCCACAATAATATGAGTAGAGCTAACAGTTCCATTGAATTTCACATAACCTTGCTTTCCAAAAGTGTTCCCTCTCCCGACTCTCAGTTATAATGGGATTGTCGATTAGGCAAATATGTTTGTAATTACAATCGACGACATTACTTAATTTCAATATAAGTAGTTTTCGATAAGACTAGTCATTCTTGAATAAGGGGTCGTTTGTGTGAGCCAATATGCCCAGTGGGCAAAAAAATATATACCCAAACGTATTCAAGTTGCTCTCAGACATATCTGGCCTCTGAATTCCACAGAGACGACTGTCAAGTTTCCAGTGGGCACAAGGCTGCAACCAATTGTGAATATGGAGGCAAACTTTAATGAAATTCTTCGCTTACAAGTAGGCTTTCGAAACTACAAGTAAGCTAATATTCATCACATTTCCTTTGAGATGATGAAGGACTGGTAGCTGAATTTTCCCACAAGGAAATGAGTAGAGCTGACAGTTCCATTGAATTTCACATAGCCTTGCTTTCCAAAAGTGTTCTCATCCCGGCTGAAGTGGACTGCCTTTTCGACCTCACCTAGGTCATATCAACACACTATTAGATTGACATACTGCACTGTCATGCTTCGATTACGCTGGGGTTGTTGATGAGACCTAGGCGAGGCGGAAACTGCAGTCCATCCTGGATGAGAACACCTTTTGGGAAAGCAAGACTATGTGAAATTCAATGGAAAAATCAGCTATAATCATATCATTGTGAAAAGATTAGGCTACCACTCCTTCATCCTCTTAAACGCAATAGGGTGAATACATCGCATTTAATGAAATTCAGTCGAAATGCATACCTAAAGCCATGGCCTCGGGTGGGTAGCAAATCAGCCTCTAGCAACCAGGCCGAGTATTGGAGTAGCAACTATACCCTCAACTGTTACACTCAGCAACCCAATGAGGCGGAACTCAGTAGACATAATTTCGGACAGTTCAGCGGCCCAGGAATATGCAAACTCTTGCAGTAACATGACGAACTGAGCCACATGACCTGTCAATAGGAAAGTATTTTGCAAAAACGGTATGCAACCGAGATCCCAGAAGAGGCAACATCTGACAATACCTGTCCGTCCAACAGGACATGACCGTCCAACCCGTTTAAGCTCTTTTTCGACGCCGTATCCAGGAGTCGGAGGCGACGAACTTGGCACCAATCAGACGAAGCGCTTGACTCCAAGGTGGGTTCATAGCGCCAAACACAAATCTCGCCGTCCCCCGCCGACCCCGAGGCGAGAAGAGGCCAACTTGCCGAGTCTTTGGCCGGTGGTGGGCCAGAGTCGGGATGGGACGGCCGAGTCTGCGGGTAGCAACGAAGCCATCTGACAGCCGACACATCGTCACCATGGCCGATCAGCGTGCGCAACAGGCGCAGACTGAATGGCGCAACCGGAGGCGACGGGGTCTTGACGAGCAAGCCAGACGTGGCGCCGGCCAAGCAGACGGCCCGACCGCTGGCAAATGCTACCAAATGGGCGGGGTCTGTTGAACCAGAGCTGGGCCAGTCGACGGCATCAGCACAGGCGGCCGAAAAGCGATTGAGGCTGGCCGAGGTGTATACGCATGACAAACAGCCATCGGGCAGAACATGAGATGAAAGCATTGGAGCTTGACCAAGAAAAGGTGAAAACAGAAACAAGAGTAGATTACATGAATGCATGCAAGGTTGCAATCTGGCGTGCTGACTGGGTCACAACAGAAAAAGTACAAAGTACATGATCGCAGCTATTTCGTCAGCCAATCCGGCAAAATTTACCGACGAACAGGTTATGGGAACTATTCCAAAGTACAGGCTACCGAGAATCCATGTACCAGTGGTGGTCCCAGCGAAATTCGACATGGAAAATGTCTAATGAATTGCCGGTAAAAGTACAGGATTAACGAGACGAAGATTGGATGATGACGAGGTATTGGCGAATTGCTCGTTCTCGTCAGAGCTCAAATAGGATTCAGCTTTTGCGCCAGTGACAACTACAAAAATGTGGCTGACAGCACTTGGGTATGATCTTCGAAAGACCG